AATTTATTTCACTGGGTAGGTCTTTGCATTTAATCACTCTGTTTATAGAAGTAAAAGCTAATATCATTTTTATTTAAATTATTATTCATCTATAAAATGTTTGCTGCAAGTCACAGTACTAAGCAAGCCTCCTTTGAAACATCATGACTACCATGCAGCTGAGTGACCACTGATGGGAACAGAATAGTGTATAAGTGGCACTGAGTGGCTTTAGCACTAAGAAGAGACTAAGCTGTCAGGGAACCAGGTCTCCATGTAACTTTTATTTTGCTAATGTGTCCTCTAGAGGTAGAGGCACTGATGATTTTCTTGCTGCCTTATTTTCCAAACAGGAGGAGTATTTTACATTTCAAATATCTATATATGTATTTGATTAAGGATTTTAATTACCAAGATACACCCTGAAGTCCAGGATGATCAAATGGAATTATGTTGATATTTGAGCTGTTGGTATAGTTTATGTGCTTCTAAAAATCTTTCCTCCTCTTCTTACTCCACTGTTGTCATTTTTCAATATACTTCACTCTTTTCCCTCATTTTCCTATATATTTAAATTTCTTTTAAGTATACTAACAGTGACTGAATACCATTTTTTTGTATTTATCTCAAATTGCTCTCTCAATAAAGTCTTCTAAATCGCTTGACATACAAGACGCCAGCATATATGTTTTTAAAAGCACACATTGAGTAGAACTAATGTGAAGGCAACATTGATGAAGCAATATTGGTCTCTGCTCTATTCTCCAGAGACTAATTCAAAAACTAGTTGACTTCATTTGCTGTGGTTGACAGCTTCTCAAACTGCTTGAATAAATTTGGATATTAACATGCAGCCTGTCTATTTGGAGAGAATTACTGTTCTATCTGCCTCTGGAGACTGCTTTATTTTCAGATTTAACTCAGCTCGATATGATGGGCCCCAACTTTTGAGTTAGGTGTCCTATTTATGAAGCATGCCTTGATTTAATCAATATGTGTTCAACTCCCTGTCTCAGCAACATGCTGTGCTACACACAGCAGGATATGCAAAGATATATACTGAGCATCTTCTGCAAGCCTCAAAATGCTTAGCCCCAAGATAGGAGAGAAGAGAGGGAGACATGCAATGGAATTGGGTGGGATCACGCCATTTTCCCAAAGTCCCCTGGAGAGCAGATGTGGTCTTAAGGGAGGCAGAGGGGCAAAGTTCCACTGAGCACTGAAAAACACTGTTTCTTCATCTCTACAGTAGCCATGTGAGGTGAATGGCATGACCCACATTTTACAAAGGAAAAAACTGAAGATCAGATCAATTACATCACTCCCTCAGTCATTCTATCAATTGTATCAATACAACAGCGCCTGGCACATGGTATGCATTTCATGAATAGTTTGGAATGTTGAGTGAATCTTTCAGGGAAGCAATTTGCAGCATACACCAAGAGTCTCAAAAACATTTCTTCCCTTTGAACCAGCAATTTCTAGTAATTATCAAAGATGTAGTAAAGATTTTGTATATGTCTAAAGCAATGAGAATGGTAAAGAGGGCAGAGTGGAGAGCTGTATAAGAGGTGACCTTTATTTGTATGAGCTTAAAGTGAGGGAGGAATCTAAACTAGATTCCCAGATTTCTGGCTGGATTAGAATCTTGGCAGATATTGGAGTTATTCACAAAGAAGAGACCTCCAAAGGAAAAGCAGATGGGAAGGGAAAGATAATGTGGTCAGGGTTAGATGTACTGAATCAAGATGACTTTGGGTCATTCAGTTGGAGCTGTCCAGTAAGAAAACACATAGGTCTGGAGCTCAGCAGCACAACCCTAGTGCAAGATAAGGATTTGGTCATCGAAGCCACGAGCAAGATAAGATTGCTCCAGGGAGAGTCTTCAGAGTGCAAAGAGAGGAGAGCGCAGGACAGAACCCTAGGATTGCAGTGTGAACAAGAGGAGCCCAGAGAGAAGAAAGTAAGCAAGCAGAAGATCTAAGTCAAAAGTGAAGAAACATAAAAGATTTAGGGAATGGTCAACAGAGTGAAATGGTGCTCTCAAGGGAGTTTGTAATCCAGGTGAAGAAGTCAAGTAGGAGAAGAGTTGCCCATGACTGTACTTGATTAAGTGCCCAAGAAGGATATAGCCAGTACTTACGGGGTTGAGAATGGAATTGACCTGAAATTTGACACAGGTGATGGGACTTAACTGGGCCTGAAATGTGGGTAGAATTGAAACTGGGAGGGATCTTTTCAAATGAGGGAATGAGATTTGTTCAACTTCATTCTTATACCTAAAATAACCATTAATAAAAGTGGATTTCCTAATGATAGTGGTCAGCAATATCATCTTTGAATAGTGAAGACAGCATTTGGTTCTCTTTTAATTATAACATTTGGTCCCAACTATGACTATTGGCTAAACGATATCATATAAACCTGGGTGTGGTGTTACCTGACATCATGTACAAGATTAAATTCAAGGAAGTCATGACAAGAAAGCAGTATGGCTTATGTGTAGCGAGTTCATTCCAGAAAAACAGATGTGTATAACTTTTAGGAGATCTTGTGAGTCAATTCCAATGGGAAAAGGCAGGTCTTGGCTATCTACCCTCTTAATTTTATGGCATCTAATTCTAATATTCCTTTGATTTCATGCAGCTATTCCTAGCTGTAAAGCTGAAGATTCCGTGCCCCATCTTTTCCCTGTCTTATGGTGGCTAAACTGTGGCTATATGTGAGGAAGCCGGAAAAGGAGATTTTCTTGTGCCCTTTCCCCACTCCCCTGCACCTTCCAGTCCTTTTTCCAGCTTCCTGTACCACCCCATTGGCCTCTTCCTTCTTGGGAACACTTGACTTGCAATGTGGCATGGGCAATAACTCTTAATTTACCAACAGAAGTACCTTGAGGACAGACATGGTCAGGCGTTACCTTGGGAAATAACCTGTCAAAACCTGTCTGTAGGCGAGTCTGCCCACAATGTGTCATAGTGATTGCTTCCCCAGACCAACACTGTATCTGCAAAGAAGAAGGGACAGAATAAGGAAAGTCATTGGAAAACCAGGTTCCTGTGCTAGCCATGTCATTGTCCTGGTGATAAAGTCTTGTGCAAGGTTCTTAACCTCTACTAGGCTCAGTCTTCTCAGTGGAATTGTGACAATCAAATGACATAATATTTATGAAGGTGCCTTATGATTGCAAAATGCTATTCTCATGGCAGGCAGTGGTGGTTGGCTATCATCATAGTCATGAATATAATGTGAAAGCAAAAGGGGACTAAATGTTTCCTCCTAAATCCATTCTGAAGACCCTGACCTTGCATTCCAACTCTTGCGCTCAACCAGATTTCTCCAGGGCTGCATCTGCTTTGCTCCCTCTTCGTCTGTGCTAATTTATCCTGGTTTATGTAGTGCTTGATGCAGTTGAGTAACACTAAGTTAATTCCATTCTCCTTCCCTTAGTGCATAGTTGAAGCCCTTGAAATCCACCCTTAAAGAAGAAAAATGGAAAACCATTTACTGAGTGCTTCCACCGGGCCAGGCACTTTCTTTATCTGAGATCCTTTCCCACAAACCACAGACGGTTCCCACAGAGGAGAAATTAGGAAGCCTTTGCAGCTGAGACTAGTGGAAATTGCATTTCTATTAAAAGCTGTCTGGCTAGATGTATCCATCCCAGGTACAAAGTTAAATAATGTCATAAACTTATTCAAAGACATAAGGCTATTATATAAAATGCCATTAAATATCTTCTACCCAATGTTAACAAAATACAGCTATAAATCTCCTTGTAGTCGTTTTGCAAGTTGCTAGTTCTCAGTGGGTTATACATCTGCAACTTCTGCACTATTGAATTTTGCTGCCCAGTCCTAGCAAATGAGATGTCAGGAATGCATGACCCTTTGAGATGTGATGGTTTCAACTTCCTTGGTATCATCACTCCTGAATTTAGGAGTGCCAGGTTTCTTCTAGGACTGGTTTCTGCAATCATTTTTTTTTTTTATTTCAGGATATTATGGGGGTACAGATGTTTAGGTTATGTATGTTGCCTTTGCCCCCCCCCCAAGTCCGAGTTTCAAGTGCGTCCGTCCCTCGGATGGTGCGCATCGCACTCTTTGTGTATGCATATACCCGTCCCCTCCTCCCCCTCCCCCCTGCCGGACATCCAATAGATGTTATTCTTATATGTGCACTTATGTGTTGATCAGTTAGTACCAATTTGATGGTGAGTACATGTGGTGCTTGTTTTTCCATTCTTGGGATACTTCACTTAGTAAGCCTTGCTAAAAATCTAAATATACAGGTACAAGAAGCTCAACGGACTCTACAATCATTTTTTACCTGCTGATTAAGTGTGGTGCTGAGGTTCCAGGCACTAGAGACCAAGCAAGGAGGCCCAACCATCCAAGCCATGGTACAGGATTCAAGGCTGGGAGACCGCACATCTGCTTTGAACTTTGAGACTAACTCACAACTCTTATGTGCAGCTATACATTTGAGGGTGTTACTTACTTACTGGATGAAGGGGTAGAGTGGAGAACAAGAGTTGAAAGGAGAATGAAACATTATATCGAGAAAAGTTCTGTGGCCCCAGTTTTCCTGTGGTAAGTTCACCTAACCCACAGGTCAAAAGGAAATGCACATAAGATATGTCTCATTGAACTTGTCCAATTCTGTGAACTTGTCAGAATTCTCATTTACCTTTGCAATCCAGGTCCCAAATCCAGATAGACACTGTCCTTTTGAGCCTCCCCAGAGAGCACACTGGCAGAAGGGAAACGTCTGGCCTGTCAGTGGTGGGAGTACACAGCAGCATTCAGGATTTGCCCAGGCCGTGCAGTCAGTGGCTGTTCTTCCTACAAGTGAGTCAGTCAGACCGAATCAGAAGAAATGTCGACTTGTCTCCTAGACACGACACTGAGGGCCTTTCCACGGTGTGACCTGCACTCCTCTTACAGGGCACTCCCTTCCGCCAGGGTCTGGTCACCGTAGGTCTGCCACGCCAGCTTCTGAGGCTCTTGCTTTCCTTCTTTCAGGAAACAGCATCCTCCATTCAGCTGCCGATAGCGTGACCAGCGCGGTGCAGAAGGCAAGCCAGGCCTTGAACGAGCGCGGGGAGCGGTTAGGCCGGGCAGAGGAGAAGACAGAAGACCTGAAGAACAGCGCCCAGCAGTTTGCAGAAACTGCGCACAAGGTGGGCCGACAGAGGGGCAGGGGTCTCAGCACTGGGCTGTCAGGGAGCTACGGTGCCAAGAAACTTTATTTCGGTATTTTCCATGATGGGAGATACAAAATCAAGCTTGTATTTTTTTCTTGGCCCCTTTATACAATTCCCATCTGCTGCTTACTAAATGCCAGAGTCATGAGAAATTTATTCTTGTACCTGGTTTCTGTAGTTATCTCTTTTCTGATGGCCTCATCCCTCTCTGACCTTCTGACCTTGGATCTTCAGGAAATGTGGACCATCTTTAGCTCCTGCCCAGGGTTCAAGTTTCAGGGCACAGGATGAGGGGGAACAAAAAGAAGTCAGGTCTTAGGACATCTGTCTCCTTTGGCCCACGCACGGAGGACTTCAGGCTGCTCATGCTTACTTTTCCATCCTGTCCCGAGTCTCCTATGCTATGTCTTCACCACGTGCCCAAGTCCCCGGGGCACAATGCGCCTCAGGGCCAGTTTTCCCTCTGAGAGGGGCCCCCATTGTTATTTCAGGGCCTCAATTCTTTAAGATTGACCAGACTGGTGCCAAGCTGCCAACAAGATTCCCTCCTGCCTCCGAACCCAGAGAACGGCGTTTCCCACGGGACTGAACGTGCACTGCGCACATTCGCACCATGGCTAAGAACTGTGCCTTTCAGAAGGGAAAAGGGGAGTTGTTATTGGCAGCCGGCTATCTAAGCAGTCAGAAACCAAAAGAAAGAGGCCCTGTTGTTCAGGTGATAAAGAGGATTTATTACTGTTCCTGTGCTCGGATCAAAGGGCAGTTCTCTTCTGGTTGGTTTGAATTTAGATTTCCAGAAACAACATCTGCTGATGACTTGTGTTGGCATGTCAGACTCATGATCTAGCCCTTCGGATACACTTTTCAGGTGACCTTTGGGGAAAAAAATTAATTGGCTTTAACAGAAACCCCACTTTTGCTGTTTAAACAAGAATGGATAACCTAAAACTTTCCACAGCTGAGCCAAGGAGGCCCCTCCTGGAGGTTCACACTCAGGCACAGCTGGGGATCGGATTTCAGTGGATGCTTCCTGCCTTCTCTTCCTGCATCCCCCTTGCACAGACCTGTCTTCTTGTCTCATTTATTCTCTATCATGCCAGGGTCCTACTGCACGGCTGCATAGGGGGCCCACTTGGAGTTCCATGGAGGAAAACAGGCCAGATCTGTCTGGAATTGCAGGCAGCTGTGCCGGAGGCCAGAGCCTCAGATTGCTGCGGCTGTTGCAGAGGGAGTGAGCTCAGTGTTAAGGTTTCCCTGTCCCTCCTCCCTTTGTAATACAGAGATAATGATGAGATGGAAATGCTAGAATTCATCAGAAATGTTAATCTTCATTTATAACAACAGTAACTTATGTGATTTGAATAGGGGATGGACAGTGGAAATCTGGGGAAACAAAATGTTGAGTTAAGGAAGGCAAGGCCTAAGGGAATAACTTTATAACTGTCTTCAAGTCTGGGGAGGGTGATAGTGCAGGCAATTGTTTTTCATGTCTTCCCACACAGAACAGAGCAATCAATAGTGCACTGAAAAAATTCTGCTAAAACAAGACTCCAGGTTAATGATTAAACCATGAACCAGGTTACCAAGGAAGACTGAAATCGCCCTTCCTAAAGTGCAGTAGACAATGCCTGGATGTCATCCATGGAGGCGTCCCTCTCAAAGGGGGTTGCATAAACACTGACTGGATAACCTAATCAGATGGCTGAATTCTTGGCCCTGGTAGCCCTGTTTCCCTCGTGTCGTAGCCAAGTTTGCTAGGTAGCTGGGAAAGCAATATGGTATAGTAGTTAGTATCTTGTGTTTGCATCCAGCTCTGTCGTTTACCATCTCGGTGACCTTGGGCAAGTGTGCAATTTCTCTAAGCCTCAGTTTCTTCATCAGTAAAATAGAGCTAATTAATAATAATAATACCTACCTTCTAGGGTGTTGAGAGAATTGAAGGAGTTCAAAGCTATTAGCACAGTGTGTAGCATGTATGCATTTGAATTGCTATTATTTATAATTATTTCTATAACAATCATTTCTGCTGAACCTGCCCTATTCAGTCACATCATGGGCACTGCGAGGGGCTGGAGAATCCTCACTGGTGCTTGAGTGTCCTGGGCACACGGATGGGGAAGAAGTGGAGGTGAAGATTTTGTGCCTTCCAAACTCTAAGGGAAAGGGGGTGAGAGGGCTCCCCGCTAAATGGTGATACCATCTAAACACAGAGCATCCTCAAAACAGGGCCTGTCAGAACAGAAACTTATGAGGCCACCAAAGGCAAAGAAAGGAGCCTCTGGCTTGACCAGGAGGAGGATCCATGCCAGGCAGTTACCTGCTTTCAGTAGAGAGGGACGAGGCGGGGCAGTTTGTATTTATTTTGGTTTCCCCTCCCGTAGGTGTTCTCAGGGAGTGTGCGAGGGGCTGCTGGTGTCTGTTAGTGCGTATGAGGGAGTGTGAGAGCGACCGTGTCATAGCCAGACTTGCAGTTTTCTAAATCTGGGATGTGTGCCTATGAATCACTGGCATTGGCAGTATTCCTAATGAGCAGGCTGACCTCTTTAGATAAGGTGTGACTATTTTCCCAGGGACTGGGATTCCTGATTTGGGCCCGCTAGCATAGGCAGGCCATGAAGAGGTCATTTCACCAGCCAGGTCCCAGCCAGACCTGCTGGTGAGGGGAGAGTTCAGAGATGGAACCCAGGCCTCCCCCTCCAGACAGGTGTGGCTCTGTAGATTCACAAAGAGAGGGCTGTGTTTACAAGTGGAGGCACAGGCATGTGGTAGAGTCCTGAGCAGAGAACAGCCATTCCAGGTGACAGTTTCTCCTAGCTCCTGGTTAAAAAGGGCACCCAAGCCCAGCTGGAGAGTATGGCACACCTTTCTAGATTGGAGTTCAAAAGGATCTTTGGCCTTCAAGCTTTTCCCAGGACTCTTGCAATGATCCAGGTACCAGAGTGAATGGATCACTTTTGTATAACCCTGCCTTCGAGATATGTGAGTGCTCGTCCTCCACAGAGCAGAAGGACAATGATCCTTCACCCCCCAACCTCCAGATCCAGTTCGCCTGGCTTGCGGAAATGTGGTCCCTTCCCGAGCTGTGGGCTTGGCACAGTCCCAGCCCTTAGGAAAGTGTACCTCAACCACAGAAGCAGGCCTGCTCACTTCACCCTGCCCCAAAAACCCCAATGTTATATTGTGTGCAGTGCTTTGACGGCCTGCCACGGGCAGTGAGTCAGCAGGCAAAAGCATTACCCACACCTAGGCATCCTCAAATGACATTTCTCGCAGAAAAGAACATTGATCTGCCTTGTTTTGCACAAGCCTACATCTGTGGGGGAAGGAAGCGAGCATGGCGTTTCTCTCACTGGGAGGGAATGGCTGTCTCTATCCATCCTGTAGTCAAGTGCTTCCCTTGGGTCTTTAGCCAGAAGTGACCTCAAGAACTCAGATCTCCTAAAGTATCTCCCTGATATCACTCATGATTTTTTTATTATCATTATTTAGGTGGAATGGGTTACATAGCATTGAAAGAGAAAGCTTCCCATGAGATATGAAGAAAACAAAATATATCAAAAGGACATTTTAAACTGCTTTAGAAACTGTGACACCTAAATTAATCCATCGGCATTTAGAGTTGAACACTTTTTTACAGAAATATGAGGAAGCTGAGGTACGGAGCAGCTGTGACTGTAGAGCTCAAGGTCGTACAGCAGATTCGTAGCAGCGGGTATCCCGACCTCACTGGATCCAGTGCTCTTTCTGCCCTGCCTTCCTGCCTTCCATGTTCTAAAGCTCCTAATTCCCAGGGAATTTTTGAAAAACTAGAATGATGCCACTTAACTTAGTCTGTTTAGGCTGCTATAACAAAATACCACAAACTGGGTAGCTTACAAACAAATTTATTTCTTACAGTTCTGGAGGTTGGGAAGTCTAAGATCACAGCACCGGCAGATTCAGTACCTGGCGAGGGCCTGCTTCCTGGTTCTTAGATGGCACCTTCTCACTGTGTCCTCGCATGGTGGAAGGGACCACGGTCTCTCTCCAGCCTCTTTATAAGGACACTAATTTCATTCACAAGGGCTCTGCTCTCATGACCTAATCACCTCCCGAAGGCCCCACCTTCTCATCCAACGCCTTAGGGGTTAGGTTTCAGCATATGAATTTGGGGGTGGGGGACATGGAACATTCAGACCATGGCAATACCTCAGGTAGCAAAATGTCCAATCCAGCTGTATTTCTGCAAAGCTTAGTGATCACAGCCCAGGGGCTCCTCTTAGGTCCATTCCAGATGCACTGTCGTGGCAACCAGGGTCTGCTTTGAGCAGCAGCACAATCACTGCTGAAGATTGATGTCAGTGAGTAAGTTGGCACAAGCCCATTAGTAGAAAGTTAACAGCTGAATGAATACCAGGACAGCAGCACTGATCAAATATTTATGGTTGATATTTATTATGCACAACACTTAACAGCTCTGTGTTGATTTGATGGTCTACGTTGCTGAATAATGTAGGAGAACTAGAGACAGAGCAAGAAGCGGGGGCCAAACAGTGGAGGGGCTCAGTGTGTGGCCAGGAGTGGCACAGATCTGAGGTAGAGCCCTGGCTCTGCCATTTGCACCAACAGTGTGGTTCCTGGACTGTAAACTCTTCGAGGTCAGGAGTCATTAGCCACCTCCACCCTTCTTGGCAAAAGCCCGTAGCACTCGGTGTGGCAGCCTGGGCATGCTCAGAACTTCACAAACACTGTGTCTGACAGTTGATGACTGTCAGCGTCAGCACCACAGCAGGTCTCTGGAGGTCTTCACTGCCAGACAGAACTAACTCTTTCAGCTGAGGTTTCCCAAGCAGAGATTAATCCACATGAGGGCTGGATCCACTGGCCTCTCCATCACATGCAGGCCTGGCCGGGGCACTAGTGCTTTTGCTGGTGGCCTAGCTGAGACGGCAGCCCCAGGGTTAAAATTTCTTTGTCAAGAAGTAATTAGGTCATTGAAGGCAGAGACCTTCTGAATAAGATTAGTGTCCTTATAAAGAGGCTGGAGAGAGACCCCCATCCCTTCCACCATGTGAGGACACAGCAAGAAGGTGCCATCTATGAACATCAAGAAGAGAGAGGAAGGACTCAGATTGCCCTGGGGTTTGCTGGAGGAAGGTTATTGACATCGTCCAGGATGATGCAGAGCACCACCGGGTGGAATCAGTGGGCTCCATCTTACTAATTCTTAAAAGGCAGATAGCCTGGTCGGGATGCAGATGACAGGGCTTTCTATGTGAGTTATCACCTACATAGAATCCCCTGTTCTTTGCTCAAAGGATTTCTGAGCCTCAGAACCTGAACCCCAGTTGTTCCCAGCCCCAGCCACGAGGATTAATCCCTAAACATGAGGAATTACAATTCAGCCCCTGCTTTGCCTTCTTTTCACATCAGTGTATGGGCTCCTTGGAAAAGAGCTGGCTAAGAAAAGCAAAGACAGATTTAATTGTATGTTCTGTACCTGCATATAATTTCCTTAAATACATCATCATGGGCTCCAGCTGGGCTTGGGAAATCATTGAATGATACAGTGGTATTTGATGTTACCATTTATAAAGATCTCACATTTCAATAGACCACCTTTCTTAAACACCAGTGGGGAAGGAATAAGTTAAAGTCTGGATTTGGTCTAGTGTTCGGCTTTAGTAACACAATTAAATTGTCAGGTACTTTGGACTTGGTAGAATGTCCAGGCTGGATGCGGAGTAGATTATTGCAGATTGTCTCTCTACAAGCTATTGATTTGCAATACTTCATGAGATGTCAGTAAATACTTACATTTTAGGAGTGTTGCTTTTCCTGGATAGCCAGTAACCTGGGAACCCCAGCCATTCCTAGGATAAGCTGCTCATTCTGCCTGTGCATTGGTTTTTCCAATTGTTCCTCCAGTGGGATGAAAGACCACACTGCATTCTCCCCCACCTGGACACGTACCAACAAAATCACTGTAAGCAAGAGTAACACATGCAATGTTAAATGAACTATTTGAAAACAGGTGGCATATTTACTAGGTGCCACTGTAAATAGTAATGGTGATCTGCCACACAGAGTAGAATCCTGGTGCTGCTTCTCACTGTGGATGTGGAGAGAGGGAACAGCACAGCGAAATCTCCCTGCTAATGAGGTCTTACTTTTCTCATTCTCTTCTTAGCTTGCCATGAAGCACAAATGTTGAGAAACTGCCTATCCTGATGACCCTCTTAAGAGAAATGGAAGAGTTTGTTCAGAAGTTTTTACAAGAATTCCGGACCTCCGCTTGCTTCTTTTTTTCCAATATTTGGACATTTAGAGTTTTTTGTTTTTCCTTTTCAAATGTTACTATGAAAGAAAAGGTGTTGTGTTTATACATTTCCCTGATGATCTTGCTAAGAAATGCTACAATAGCATCAGCTTCATTTTGGTTTTGTTTTTATTCCCCTGTGCGTGTGTATGTGTGTTTGAATGTGTTTTCCTTTTCAAAACAATTTTTTTGTAGTTTGAATATGAAATTTGGACCAAATGATAAACGGAGCTAGGTCAAAGATGGCAACATGTAGTTTTTCCCCTGATACTAAGCAGGAAGACATCAGATGTTATTGTTCCTGGATGAAAATAAAAGTCAAGCAGTGATTGGTTTCACTCATTCTCCTAGCTACTCCTAATTTGAAGGTTAAAATTCTGTGTTATGGAAAACAATTGGATTTATCATGGAAATAGCAATCTTAGATTTTGCCCTTTACATAGTAATCTTTTTGCATGAACCATCACCAGCATTCAAAAAAACAAATCAGAATCACAGACAGAAATCTGCTTTCTGAGCTACAGTTTAAATAGTCCTGCTGTTGCTTCCAGGCTGATTATTTGGAATTATCATATGAAGGATAAAAATTTGAGAGTAAAAACCTAAGGAAAAGCCTATTTAAAACCCTCTGTGTATTCACGGATGTTTGTCTCTTTTGTCATTGCCCCAATTGTGGTAGCTGCTATGGAAAGTTTGTATTTTTATCAAAAATTGATTTGCCCAGATAAAGGTCTGTGTCAATGATAATGTGAACACATACTACATTTAAAATCTTTTTTCTTGTCTTACAAAGTCGTGCCTATTTTAGAGACAACCTCATAATGTCCTTGGGAAAGGACCTTCGATTTTTTGGTATCTGAGTTTTTGGAGGTTTTGATGTTGTTATTGCTGTCTATTTATTTAATGTAATTTAACATGTGGCTTTCTTGACAAATTGCATTTGAGTATGACATAAAACACCACAGTCATGACACCTTTGCGTTGCAGGCAGATTAAATAAAATTGGTCACATTCCTCCTGATTTTTTGTTACAATAATACAGGGTTCAGAGTCTAGAAGTTTTGTTTCCTAGAATGTTAAAATGCTAAACTTAAAAAAGCTGTCCTTTTTCTTAATGAAAAAGGAGGCAGGCTGTGCATCCCAGGCACGTTGCAAGCCTCCCACTGCAGCACGTTGATTTTTAAGCTGCCTGAATCATCAAGACCCCTTCTGTTCCTTCCTATCCATTGAGCCAGTAGAGTCTATCTGTACTATAGCCTCTTACATAGCAGCGTAAGATGACTCTTGGATTATTAATGCTCATTTATAGCTTAAATTCTCCTGATAAAGCATTCCCAAGGAGACAGAAAGTCTATTGGGGGGAAAAAAATATTGTAGGCAGTGCATGTCAAAGGGAGATGGGACTTGCTGGAGACAAATTGCTGAATCCTCTTAGATGATCCAATTCAAGAAAACTCTGTAAAATTTATATAGTAAACTGTATAAGTTTAATATTTTGTACTTTTAGTGTCTTAAAAGTTTAAAGAAGGAACATGCCATTTGGTGAGTACCAATAGAAGACTATATAATTGCTAAGAAAAGCCCCAAATAGCACTCCAAACAGATTTTATTTGCAGACCTCTGTTCAGAAAACACACACACACACACACACACACACACACACACACACACACACACACAGAAATATTCATCTCCCCAAATTGGATTCTGGTTTCAGAAATAGATAGTTGATATAAATAATTGAAAGGGTAAATCTAAAACCCCTTGACAATCAGCCAAACTCAAGAATAAAATTGGTTGCCAACTATCTAACAACAGTGTTTAGGAAACTGCTTCTGCAGTGTCAGAAGGTGAGATCATAAGCATACTGTGAAATCTGAGAGCCTTCCTCCCTGGTAGAATCGTGATAGTTACTCTTATCATATATGTAAATATTCCACATCTTTTCCTCACTCTCTTTATCCTTTTAGACCTAACTCTTATTGGAAATAGCCTGGATTAGAAGAATGGCTCATGCCCTTGAACTCTTGGACCCTGTGTCCAAGTCCTGCCTAGGCCTCCACCAGCAGGGAGGCTATAACAGGAGTCCCTGCCCCTCCTCTACCCCCCAGCCTCTTGCAGAGAAGCCCTGGGATAACACATGTGAAGTTCTTTGCTATGTTTTTGTAGAAGGTGCTGCAGTCCAAATATTATTACAATCTAACCTAGAGAAAATTGCTAAAATAACTCACATCATTTAGGACCAATTTGGTTGAGCTTGCTAGAAGACAATTTCAGTTTGTTTTATTTCTGCACTCCACTATGAATTTGGGGGATACTATATTTCTGTGAAGGACTTCTCAAATTATATTGATAACACATAAAGAAAAGAAACTTTCCAGTGTTACCACTTCTTCCTGAAACATAGCTGTAGTATTCCTCACTAGTATTATTAGATATCTGTGTACAGAAAGTATGCAGTTATTCAGGTTAATGTTTCATGTTAAAGAATGTATTTGTAAAATGTAACAACATCAATAGTTAACTTTTTTTAGGCTCTTAAAAGGTTAAGATTATGTGTTAGACTTAAAATTACAGTGAAATCTGTTTTAATACTACTTTTGTGGCTAGCAAAGGTGTATTTATATAAAAATATTTACAGGATGCCCTAAATAAAGGATATTAAAGATAGGTTTTGCTCTTCATTTTCAGAATTGTAACATTGCTGATGTCTGTTATACAGCTATTCTCCAGAAGTTCTGTAAGATGTCAAATATAATTTTTGTTTAATTTAGAGACAAGTAACACCTGCTCTATTGATTCACTATGACAGCAAACCCTAATTTTGTCATTAAATATTTTAACTCTGTGATGAAAGAGTGTTTCTTTCAGTTATTTGTGAACTCTATAAAATACTACCAAACAGGTACACATCACCGCACTTTTGATGCTAATGGGAAAATCTGGTATGCCTAAAGGGAGACCTCGGAACTAGATTTAGCATAACAATAAAGTTTCACTACATACATGCTAATAAAAAAAAAAAACTTGGAAATATAAAAACGACTAAAGAGCTAACCTTAATTTAGACAATGGCATCTATCCAGCAAGAGTTAAGTATTTTTTTCCTTCTCATGGGTGAAGCAATTAAGCCAATTGATAGTCACCTTTCTGCTGATGTTAATGATGTGCTCAAGTACTTATTAGAGCATGTGCCCTCATTCAGCAGACTAGTTTCATGCCCTGTTAAATTGGAAAGAAGACCGGCTCATATTATGTCGATTTATTTTTATGGAAAAGCAAATGCAACTTATTCCATCGCCCCATTTGTTTCTCAGGGAAGTGACTTGGGTGACTACTGTAGCAGAACAGCCATCTCTGGGTTGGCATGGACACTCAGTAAAGCAGACAGGACTTTGAAATATTTCCTGGGAGGAGTGCAGGTGGGAGGGAAAGACTGCAGTCTCCACCTTTCAGAGAAGAATGGATAGAGATACTGTTTGGCTAGAGGAGGACTCAGCCTTAAGTTAATTATGCATTTAAAAGCACCTACCCTTGTGAACTAAATTATAAGCAGAATGCCTTGCAGAGATGATCTTTTTTCCTTAATATAGTTTTTATTAGCAATTATGCCACAGCCAACTCTCATATTTTATGGAAGGATTAATATGAAAAGTAGATGGTGCCTTTCCCCTGCTCTGAATGGGAACATACTTAGGAAAAACTATAGTTTATTATAATCATTGTCTGCCTAAACAAGCAGATTGGGGGCCGGGCGCGGTGGCTCACGTCTGTAATCCTAGCACTCTGGGAGGCCAAGGCGGGTGGATCGCTCAAGGTCAGGAGTTCGAGACCAGCAAGAGCGAGACCTCGTCTCTACTAAAAATAGAAAGAAATTATCTGGACAGCTAAAAATATATATATAGAAAAAAAAAATTAGCCGGGCATGGTGGCGCATGCCTGTAGTCCCAGCTGCTCGGGAGGCTGAGGCAGGAGGATCGCTTGAGCCCAGGAGTTTGAGGTTGCTGTGAGCTAGGCTGACACCACGGCACTCACTCTAACCAGGGCAACAGAGTGAGACTCTGTCTCAAAAAAAAAAAAAAAAAAAAAAACAAGCAGATTGGGGCAGGTCTGGTAGGGGAGGGTAGACAGAAGAAAAGGAGGGGTGGTGGGAAATGCCAGAAATAAATTTCAAACCAAAAGTCCGAGTATTATTTCCTGTTGCTGCCCATTCTGTGTGCCTCTCCCTTGGCATGGGCTAGCCTGGGTGGTAGCTAGACACATGTATGCATGTTCACATGTGCACACACAGCTGGCATTGAGAAAAAAGCTGTGCTGTGCTCCTAGATAACCCCCTGAAGTCATTTCATGAACCCTCTTGCCCATCTGGACATGGGTGGGGAGGAGACAGTACTTCCTAGGGTCCGTGAAGCTGGCAATGCCAGAGCTGGGCCATTATCAGAGCATGAAGAGAAGCAAGGACGTAAGAGACTTGGAGAAGGAACACATCCCGCCTGCAAAGCACGTCCCACTTTGTATCTCTGTATGGGAATGCACCAACAGTCCCTTTACTAAGATGGTGCGAAGGATGGATTTTCTTCTGGTTTGCTTTTTGAAAATCCAGAAATTGCCTTTTGAACAATCTCCTTTGTCCCTTCTGTGTCCCTCTGCTTGCTTCCTAACCTTTCTTAGATCCTGCTTTAACTCGCTCTTCCTAAGGTGTTACCCACAAATAAAGTGTGGGTTTACAGTGGCTTAGAGCACAACCTGGCTGCCTGTCACAACCAATTGGGGAGCTTTTGGAAATACACATTTTACTCCTAAATTTGCCTTTTTGTTGTCCCTCATCACCTTTTGTCAAGAAAAAAAAAAAGCCTTCAGTAGGTCCTGGATGGTGGGGCACCTGTCTTCCCCAGATGCTTCCTAGATTTAAAGCAGCAAGTTAAAGCTGTCAAGGAAATTAAATGTGATGTGCACTTAAGCACTATTTCTGCTACGGTGTAACCTGGCCTGACCTCCGTTGTATCTTCTCCCTTGGGCCTCACCTGGAGCCTCTGGATTTCCTGAGTTGTATTTTCAACTTCCCGCCTCCCTTCCTCCCTCCCCTAAAGTTTTCTACCACATTTTCTTCTTTGC